CGCATACGAATAACGCTGCATTTTAACAATAAGGTACTGTTATTTACTATCTAGTTTGACACACCACTCAGATAAATTAAATGAATCGGTGTGGAGAATTTACGATAACAAAAATGTAAACTCAGCAGGCTTTTTTTTACAAACCGGCGAGACCATGAAATGTGCTAGACGAACATTTTGCAGCTGGTGGAATTTTTGTTTCTCCTATGAGCTCTTAAGGTAAAATTAGCGGTAGTGCTCAAACGGCATATTTACGAACAGGGGTTTATAAGGCAAAATTGCATATTTTTATGCCCTCTACAACCCCTATCATTTTGTCGCAATAATTATGGAACACCCTGTATACGCCCGCGAGTCTATAATATTCGGCCTGATGAATGTAGACAACACACTAGTTACTATACATACAAAAAAACATATAAAACTTTGGATACAAGAAAAATCGTATATAATAATAATAAACGACTTTTATTCAGTCGAAGTTTAGCTACAAGCTATTCTACCACCTAATATGATGAATGAAATAATAAATTAATGTATATATATATATATATAGGTGAAAAATTAAAGCTTCCGCCTTTTGTTGGGTACTTCGACAAGAATTAAGCAAAGAGGACTCTTTATACTTTTTTTAATTCTCTCTAGCTTTCAATGGACTTTGCCATCATCATCAGGAGCTGCAATTACAATGATAACAGTAGCAACAAAGGTGTAAAATGAATTTGAATTGACTCAACTTACAGTAGTATGTGAGGATGTTGCTAATTGTTGTTTACGTATAGGATGAGGGAAACGTCCAGTAACATGGTGAGAGCTGAATAGATTGCACAATAGTCAAAATTTATACAAAACATGACAAGAACAAGTTAAAAACAGATTAAAAATTATTTAAAAAATTAGAGCATTACATCGTGAAACCACCTGATGATTGCACAAATTAGTGGTCATGGAATGATGAATTGATGAGTGACATGAAACCCTTTGACAGAAGGCCGAAGGATGTCAATGTCAGTATTGAAAGATGGAACGAATTGTGGGCGTGTGCCAAATCGTTGCCAAATCACTTCAGATGATGAGATTTTCAGAATTTTATGTTAGAATTTGTTAAACCGACCAGAGGCAGTTGAATAAACTATATTATTATTAATGGGAATTTAAATTAACAATTATTAATAAATCGTGAGGAGAGAATTATTATATTTTGAGTGGAATGAATTTTACTGGTGGAAACGGCCAAAACACAGATTCTAATTATGGTTGTGAAGAGTTGAAATTTGGGGAGATATGTAAGTTCTCCAATTTTTCGCAGTTTAGCAAATATGAGTAAATGACACTCAGTTGTTTAACATCTGTCTTTTTGTTGATACAGTTGTTATTCATGAAAATGTGGGACATTTCCAGGAATAAACGTTTGGAAAGGTGTTTTTCTTTATCAAGAACTTTGATACTTGTGTAATTCATAGAATGCCCTGTTGTGTTAACATGAGATGCTAGAGCGCATCTTTCAGGATGAAGCCTAGCATCACTTTTGTGTGATGTAATCCTTCCTTTAAGAGATCTGGAGGTCTGACCTATGTATATTTGGTTGCAGTTGTTGCAATTGATGGAGTAGACTGTGTTGGTTAAGCCAAGCAGCGGGACTTTGTCTTTCATTTTTGAAAAAATGCAGTTTATAGTGAGGACGGATTTGCAAGCAATTCGAAAGTTCAAAGGACTGCACAATCTGATCAGCTTAGGGGTCAGTTCCTTGATGTAGGGCAGGACAGCAAAACCAGGTCTGGAGTCCGAGTTGGTGCTAGTACTGTTAGGATTGATGTTATTATTGGGAATTACATCAGTTCCGTTATTAGGGGTTGTGCGACTATTACCTGCATCACCAGAGTTCGGCAAAATATTGGAAGGTGAACTAAAAATGATCTTGTTAATCAGACACTTCGGATAACCATTATTGATGAACAGTTTTGATAGTTTACGTAAATTTGAGGTGTGGAAGGTATTATCTGAGATGCTGATTACCCTTGTTTTCATCTGTTTTACCAAATTGATTTTAATCCCTAGCTTATGGTATGACCTAAAATTGAGAAACCGACCTGAGGCCATAGGTTTCTGGTACCAGTCTACCAACACTAAAATCAGCACATGCAGATAATGATTACTACATCAAAGACTCATTTGAAGTCTCTCGTCAGTTCAATAGATTGACAATACCAGCCGATCATATTATCGCCAGTCTTGATGTGGTGTCGCTATTCAGCAACATCTATCTGGATGCATGTACAAGAACTATTAATAAACACTGGAATGAGATAAGTCCTGATTCACAAGCCCGTTGTACTACATTACATTACATTAACAAAGGCACGAGGGGTTGGTTGCACTCGATTGGGAAACCGATCCGCATAAACATGTGCCATTTTTTATTTCGTTTGAGCCACGCAACACATACCACTATTCACTGACACTAACTGTATACAAATGAATGAGATACCTGTAAAAACATCGTTCCAAATTCTTTCGCTTTTTTGTTTCCGATGCGATGAACCGATACGGCGGATTATATCCATTGTCGCCAAACACGACCACATAATATTGTTATTGAGACAGGGCGGTACTCAAACTTCCAAAGGGCTATAACTTTGTTACTTTAATTTTACCAGGAAAATGGTAAAGTAAAAAAACATTTCTTTTGATCAGATCTACTCACTGTTAAAATAAATGACTCAACTTCGAAGTCACCCTGTATACGTATATATATATATGATAAAATTGTGTAATTGTGTGATATAATCATACATTCAAAAATATGTTAGAGTATTCGAGTGGACTGTATAGCGGCTGGTTCCAGAATGAAATGTGGTTGTCGCCTACCTTTGATCCGGTATTCTTCTAATTCTGGTTCGTATTTCTTGCGTAGCGGTGATGCGTGAAGATTGCGGGTAAGGGAGCGGTTCTGACTCTATGCGGTTGCTGCGTATATGCGGTTTCTGACTATATGCGGTTGCTGCTTAGACACGTATATATTTGGTCTCACTCTGAGCTAGTATTTTTCTTCTTTTTATTGTCCTAGCAGCGCACGCGCGCGGGTTAGGCAAGCGATAACTCATACTCGCCAGAAAATAAAGGCAACCCATATATCCCTTACAATAATAATTGAGAATATATCAAAATATAATCAGTCTGGCAGCAGCGGTGGCCGCAGTAATAGACTCTTCGGTCTCCTGATCAGTCGCCGTGCGCTGTGCGGCTTCGAATCCTGCCCCAAGAGAAATGTTTCTCTTCGCTATGAATGTTGTGATCGTCCATAGGTGGTAGACGCTCTCTGACTGTCGAACCCAGAGGTACCACCTGGCAGATCTAGTAGGCGGGGCCAGAATGGGTGCATGTTGCATGTACACGTGATCCCTCGCCAGAGTCCGTGTTGCGTTCCCCCTTTCCCCTGTATCCTCCTATAGCCCCACGGTACCCCAAGGGTGTTTAGGCCTTAGGCCTTCGTGGTGGTTGGAGTATATGAGAAAAAATTTAATGACAATGTTTCACAAGGCAACTAACTGCGTTCTGCGAGTACTCTTTGTTTATTTGTTTCGTTCGAGACTAATTGTATTTTACAAGTAAACATTATTATTATTGTTATTATTATTATATTTATCATTAATGTTATTATTACCAGTAGATAGCTTGTGGAGTAGTGCAGTGTTGATACTACGGGGCCGGCAAAAAAGATCAAAGCTTGCCTAATTGTCAGCCTTCCCCACCCTACTATTACCTCTACTACTAGCTGCACTGGAACTTGCAGACTCATAAAAAAAATTCAACAAATGCTACACTATGTTTAAACTCATATGTAGTCTACATTCGGCTTATGAAAAAACAAGAATATTAGAAACGCCGAAGGTTGTTTGAAAGCATCAGCGCGTCAGCGAAGCAACTCCCAACTTCACGTTTCAAAGGCGTTTCGCTGAAGTATTTATTCGCTCATCACCTAGTAATGGACTCCTCGTGCAACGCTGCGTCTATGATAAACAAGCAACACATGGAGCTTTGAGTTGCAATAATTAATCAAAGTGACATTAAAATAAACGAGTTCCTCAGGTAGAAGCGTAACACAATTACCAAACCTGGTAACTGGCTAGACGTTTATCTTCACAACCCATCTACTGATGATTCGCTATTCAATTACCATTGTTTGTCTAATGATCCCGTAAGGGCAGTAATAGATGTGCGTTGCTTTTCTCTTTGAACAAACAATCGCAGTCCTGTTCTGACAGGTTGCTTTACGTCTATGTAACCACGACCAACCGCATTCAATGTTGTTCCATGCGTTTCAGCAATCAACAGTGCGGAATATGGCTAGTCGTGTGGAGAAAAACAAACGGAAAGCAAAGAAAAGCGGGTATAGTCTACTGTAAATCGCGCAAAGAGGTGACAACAGTGATATGCTATCACCTAAAAATATTCGCCAGAGCTTCATACATCTTCGGCCCGCATGTTGAAGATGATAGAATGCCCCTACGAATCTGACCTACACTGAATGACAGATCAATGAACAGATAGTTGTCGCCAAGCTTCACTAAATTAGGGCGAAGTTTCAGTAAACTCATAATTACACTCTAACAAAACCTGAATCAAAATTTGTTTTTAGATCACCTTAAAACTAATCCGTGTACTAAGTCAAAAAGCCTAGGTGTTTCCACTTAAGCTGTTTTTCTTTGCTCTTATCTTTTTTCCTTATCTTCTCCTTTCTCTTTTTCCTTGACAGTGTCTGGTTTCTGGGCAACCAGGACTGACAGATTCGACTAACGTACATTAGACAGTGACTAATGGGCAAAGGTCCTCGGACCGCCCAGACAAACAAATGACAAATATATCACTAAAATAGATTTTTTAGCAGTGAAACTGGACCAAAAAACTTACATGGAAAACACAATAATGTGCAAAATAATTTCGGCATCGTTTCTCTTTAAGGAACTGAGAAGTCACCTTTAGGATAAAAATATACTTACCTTGTAATATGGCGAAGTCTACCCGTGACTCAGCTATGGAATAATCTGCTGGGGAATCTCTAATAGTCCTCATATATCAAAAAAATGTCGTAAGACAAATAGCCAGATTTCGAAGAAGAGACTGCTGTAGACAATGTTTCGTTTTGTATCAAATACTAAGTTATAATAATAATAATGTTTATTGAAGAAAAAATACAATTTAGGAGCAAGCAAAAAAAGCATATCACGCAATGAACATACACAAGACCACAGAAACCAAATGCTTGTGCGTGTGGGAATATACATGTTGAGGTCAAACACTTATCATTGCCAAATTGCCAAAAGCTATACACATTTTTTTAGTTTTGAAAACCTACTTCTAAAAAACAAAAATATAAAACTATCACCTAATCAAAGCTTATTGATTTGTTATAGTTATCTATATTCTTTTAAATGATCCTAAAGACAAAGAAAGAAGCGTCAAACATTTATATTATATAATACAATTGGTAGCACATTTTTTTAAATTTACACTTTTAATGTAAATTTTACCTATTTTCTATGATTCTTTGAACTCGTCCTTGTCTTTTTTTAAGTAAGAATTTTTTTACCTGTTTTTTGAATTTTGATAACTAAGCTATTCTATTACATCAGATTGCAAGTTATATAAATGACTGGCAATATAGTATCTTTGTCCTGCTTATTTAGTAGACAAAGGAGTCCTGTTTATTTTATTAATTTCGTTCCTAGTATCTTGAATTGATACTAATATATGTTTGTATTAAAAATGATATATCAATGTATTGAACGAAAACAAGACTTTCTGCATCTCGACACAGCTGATCTGACGGATCTGTCTGTTCTTGTAATAAATTATTTTCAAAAATTGTTTTTATAATACCTCGAGGTTTGCTAAATGGACGTTTAGTGCTCCAACCCAAGCTAATAATCCATACCGCAATCTAAATTCCACGGAAGACTGGTGATTTATTTATCCTGATAGTTACTTAGTTATTTAGATAGAACAAAGGTCTGAAGGTAAATATGGTAAACTCATTCCATATGAAAATCCAAAAGTACGCCCAGATATTCGATTTTGTTGGTACACTATTTTAATGACTTCGCGAGTATTTTTCAATTTTTTAAGTTTTACCTCAATAGCAGTATAATTAAGAAACCTTCTTTTGACACTGGGAAGCAGCATAAACATCATTTTTGATCATATATAGTGAGGCATTTATGGCTAAACCAATCAAGAATTATAATGAAATTCTTTTCTGCCTACTCATTAAGATTATACCACGACGATTCACCTAAATAAAGAATAGCAGTGTCACCAGGGAAGCAAACTACAGTTACATTTATTTGTAAATCTAGTAAGCTGTTCGCATATGAATAATAATAGGTAATAGCAAAATACTCAAAACTGTACATGAATATAATTTTCCTCCGAAAGTAGATCTGGACTATCTGTTTTCTCCCTTCAAGATAAGTTTTACCTGAATACCCGAATCTAGCAAAACACCCAACAGCGTACAATGGTCGCAATGATTTTGCAAGATCCTGGAAAACATACCCAGCTGGCTTGCTTTGGTCATGTAGTTTATATAATCTATATGAGAAAACACATTGCATCTTGTGTGGAGCTGTTTGTTCTAAAACCGAACTAGTTTTTATTGAGTAGGTTATGTTCTTCAAGAAACGTGATGAGCTTGGGTTTTCAAATTTTTTCAACAGTTTTGGCCAATACGGTAATGAGCATTATAGGTTTCTAATTTGTAACCTCTGAAAAATCGCCTGTCTTGTGTATAGGTTTTACTATACACAAAAATATGGACACATCCATACATACTGACTTGAAGAATATCCAAATGAGAATTCCTATCATTCCTACAAAGCTAGGAGAAAACATTACTTGTAATAGTAACAAGTTCTTTAAACTAATATTACCGGCATGCATATTGGAAGTACTAGTACGTTTTATTGTGACATTTATTAACTTTTTCTTTGAAACAATATAATGTAACACTATTTTTTACTGACTTTTTCCTAAATCGAACATTTTATGTATTTGATCCCTGGGAATGAATGTTGAATTTAGAGGGCACCTTGCAGATATTCAATCCTACGGGGATGGCACAAGGAGCCTCAGTTACATAAGGGCGTGGGTCACCCTCAAAGTAATCCCAGACTTTCCAGAATGAACACGTAATTTTCCGGAGGTATTATTCAATAATTGTCACATTTCATTGAGTGGTGAAATTTTTATTCTAAGTGGTGATTTCGTATTCATGTTTGAAAATAGTTTGTAGCCTTGCGCCCTAACATTTATATTATATGGGGTTGTCCAAAACGGACGCAGGAAAGTAAACGCATATTAAAACAAGAAAGATTGATATTCAAATCAAGTTGGGTACTTTATTTTGAAGGTTCATTTATACCATTTATGTATGAAAAATAATATCGCTTAAATGTTCACCACGACTGGATTTACAGACGTCCACGCGATGGTCGAAATGTTCAATGACATTTTGCAACATGGTCGGTTCTATGGCATTTATCTCGGCAATGATGTTGTTTTTGAGTTCTTGGAGGGTGGCTGGTTTGTTGACGTAGACTTTGCTTTTCAAATATTCCCATAAAAATAAGTCCAAGGGAGTCAAATCGCACGATCGTGGAGGCCATGGCACATTTCCTCTGCGCGAAATCACGCGATCACCGAAGAAGGACTGCAATCGATGGATATTGACGTTGGTTGTGTGGCATGTTGCACCGTCTTGTTGAAAATAAACATCGTCCATATCCATTCCTTCAAGTTGCGGCAAAAAATAGTCCTCTATCATCACGTAATATCGCTCAGAATTGACGGTAACGGCGTCCCCGGCCGCATTTTCGAAAAAGTAAGGTCCGATGATGCCTTTTGACCACAATGCACACCACACAGTCACTTTTTGAGGATGCATCGGCTGCTCTTGATACTCACGGGGATTTTCGTTCGCCCAGACGCGGCAGTTTTGCTTGTTTACCGTCCCATTCAAAGTGAAATGCGCTTCGTCGCTGAACATTCTTTTTGATGAAAAATTGGCATCAATTTGGCGGTGTTCAAGGAGCCAATCTGAGAACGTTCGGCGCGAAAAATGGTCGGCCTGACGCAGCTCTTGCGTCAATTGGATCTTGTAGGCGTGTACATTCAAATCCTTGTGGAGAATGCGGAGCAAACTGGTTCTCGAAATGCCCAATTCTTGGGATCGACGCGTTGTTGATTGTTTCGGATCGTCTCTCACACTCTCCTTCACAACAGCAATATTTTCCGGTGTGCGAACGCTCCTTGGCCGGCCAGAGGCTAGCAGATTTGCCACAGAACCTGTTGCCTCGAATTTACGCACCAGACGACCGCTGGTTGTTTCGTTTGGGCAGTTGTTGCGACCGAAATGTTCACGAAGCGCGCGAAACGTGTTTTTTATTTTTGCACCATTTTTGTAGTGCTCTTGAATAACTTTAATGCGGTCTTCAATCGAATACGACTCCATAGCGATCAATGATAAACATTCAACTAACAAAATGACATGTCGGTAACAGAAAACAAAGATGGCGTCTATGTCAAATTGACGTTTACTTTCCTGCGTCCCTATTGGACAACCCATATAATCAAATATACAAATATAATTATTTGCATAATATTGTTAAATATATTACTGTCAATATTGTGAATTTATAGAATTTTTCATTTAAAGCATCAACAAACAACCCTTAGATAAACGAGTGGGGGGGGGGGCCTTCAGCCGCTCTCTGTCTGTTAGAAGTTCAAAAAAAAATAACGCTATAAAGGGCTATTTTCATCTCATTTTCTGAATCTAGAACAGAATGTTCTCTCTAAAAACGGCGAAAATATTTTCACCAATTACAGTGGACCCAGCAAAAAGTTTGTCTAGGTGGATTGAAGTTGGAAGTTTTGTTGCTCTAACGTTGCATTCACAGATTTGGTCAACGAAAGCAACACCAATATGTAAACCCTAACCCAGTGTATAATACCATGTTGGTACCACCGTTGGCTCCATTGTGTGCATGCCTTGTTATGAGAATTTCATTAAAAATCTACTTCTCCACAGTATAGTTTAAAGGGTTACTTTAACAAAGGTTTTTTGGACTGCAGCGTGGAATATACTTCATTTGGGTCACTCTGTATACTTTCCTTTTCTAAATAGGTTCATGAGTTACCGTTGACCTTTTTGTTTCAGATTTTGCGGCTTAAAGAAGAACCAAACAATATACGTCATTAAGCGTCTGGTATTTCTAAGGTAAGTTCGATGATCAAAATGAGATTGATACAGAAATTGAGACTGATCGACGACAGGCTGGAATTACCTTACATTTGATAAGGATGTGATATGGCCCTGTAATTTCATTTTTATTTTTTATTTTTTATTTTATTCATTACAACACCCTACAGTGAATACCAATTACAGGGTGAGGAAATACAGAACATAACTTAGATATAAAAGACAATAATAAGTAATATACTGCAAAGTGTAAAAGATACATGCTGGTTACGTAATGGTATTTTTTATGTCTGCAATTCTGCAGTTAAATATATCAATCCGGTTACTTGCAGAATTGTAATTCCTGCACATCACATGCAAAGGGGAATAATGTAAATAATTTGTCCGTGCCGCAGGTAGATAAAACGTAACGTTTTGTCGGGATGTCAGCCTAGGTACGTTAAATGATAACTGACCCAAGAAAGCTAAATCATCACTAGCATTATTGATCAATTTAAACAGAAAAATCACTGACTGGAAAGTGCACCTTGCTTCAAGACTGCTGATTAGATGTCTTTCAAGTAAGAAATCATGAGGTACACCTATGGGCGGGTAAACGTCATCCACTTTCAGTGACAAATATTTTAAGAAACGTATTTGAATACCTTCAAGCTTACTTATATGATGCGGATTCCAAATTAGCAATGCATATTCAAGCTTCGACCTAACACACGCATAATACAGCAACTTCAAAGTGGTACTCTGGGTGAAGTCACGGCAGTTCCTTACAATAAAGCCGTACATGCAGTTTGCCTCTCGGAAATTTTGGGGTCGATGTGTTTGACGAATGTTAGTTGGGAGTCAAATGTCACGCCTAAGTCACATAAAGTTGAAGTCCTCTGAATAGAGGTACCTGACAGGGTATAGTCAAATAAACGAGGATTTGTCTGCAAAGTGTAAAACATTAGGTAACATTTATTGTTGTTTAATGGTAGACTGTTTTGTGAGCACCAAGCATCCAACCTAACCAGATTTTTTAAAAGTTGATCACAGTGTGGCTACATACTCCGACGATCTGATGCCATTAAACATCACAAATTGATTTCTTCCAGTGAGGTAGGACTTAAGTAGTTTTATTAAAGACTCGGATAATCCATGAGATTTCAGCTTATGCAATAGCATCCTGTGATCAACTCTGACGAAAGCCTTGAAGAAGTCTGTGTAGATCACATCTGTTTGTAATAATCTGTCAATGTTTTCAGCTATGGTCTGTGTGAAGTTCATCAGATTTGATACTGTTGAGCGCCCTTTCATGAAACCATGTTGTTGAACACATATTTTTCTGCTGACATGATGATATAGTCTGTTATACATTAATATCTCTAGAGCTTTTGAAAAATTGCACAATATTGATATAGGTCTAAAATTTGATACATCATTCCTACTGGCGTTTTTGTGCATTGGACATACTTTAGACAACTTCCATAATTCTTGAATCGTGCAGGTGGTAAGACACAAGTTGAATAAAACGGTCAAAGGACACGCCAACACAGAGGCACAGTCACGCAAAATAAAAGCTGGTACATTATCCGGTCCGGAAGTCGACTTAAGTTTTGTTTGCTTCAAGGCTAAGACAACTTCATCCTCCTCAAATCTAGTAATATTGAGTAATAGTTCATTGCTTATTAAAAAGTCATCAGTTTCTTCGGTGGCTGATGAAGACGAGTAGTAGTTGGAGAAGTTATCCGCAAAAGCATTTAACATGTCGTTCGGTTCCAAAGCTTCATTACCATCGTAAATCATTCTACTCGATATGTTTGTTGGTTTTCGCTTAGAATTCAAGAAGCCCCAAAGTTTATTCGAATCTCTTTTTATTTCGGTCTTAGCTTGTCAGACATATATTTTGTATGCTTGATCTGAATCTATCTTGATTTTTGATATACGCTCCTTGAATGTCTGATACACTTCTGGATCATTGTTGCGTCTGTAAGATCGGTGAATCTTCTCCTTGCGTTTGATAACCTTATTTATTGCTGAATTGAACCAGGGTGGGTATTTACGTTTCATTGCTAGGACATATTTTGGAACACAGGTATCAAAAGCATTGTACAGTTTATTATAAAAGAACTCACACGCTTCATTCGCGTCATGATACCCATCTAAAGCAGCCCAACCCATGTCCAAAATTAAATTATATAATTGGGGGAAGTTGGCTTTGCGGAAATTATAAGAATTTATAAATGAAACAGGAAAATTATGCTTAGTGTTGAAATTGCTGTTGACATTACAACATATATTCAGGGCAGGGTGATATGGGTTTTCATCTAGAAGCGGATCCCACGAATGTTCAACCTCACACAGACCACTACAGAAAACTAGATCAAGGGTATTGTCCATAGAATTTGAAATGTTGTTAAACTGATTAATAGCAAGACCCTCAGCAAAGTTGTTCAACGAAACCAATTTTGCGTTACGTCCATGACTATTAACATACGAAGTGTAGTTAGCTATGTTGAAATCCCCTGTTATAAATAAATTCTTATCAAATAGGACGTGCGATGACAAGATGGCATCATAAAATCGCTCGTATTCAGCATTAGGCTATTTGGTTAGGATATTCACACCTACAAATAGTATTATAAAAAACAGCAGCTTTCGTTCGGAGTTCACGAACATTTTGGTAGTATATTAGAGGTTGCAGCCTATCACTACAATTAGAATCTAGTCCCTTGTGAGTTACGAAGAAGTGATGCATTGATCGCTACTGACGGAGTAGGTCGTGCCTTAATCTATCAAGGGCTTCATTGTATGCCTTGCATTTCTGCTTGTCCCAAACAGCATGATCCGTTTGCACACTATCATCTTTCTGTTTAAGTTTCATACAGTTTGGGCATTTACGAGTCTGTGATTTGCAATGTTTGACGTCATGATTCTCGCTACAGAGTGGGCAAATAACTGCACCTTTACATTTGCTAAAAGAATGATGGAATTCATTACATTTAAAACCCCACAAACAAGTAACCAGCTTTAACAATTTTCTCATAACTACTCCTATCAACCTGAACAATAGCTTGCTATACAGAAGGGTTTTTTTTAGTAGGAAAGTGCTTAACAATTTTACATTCAAAATCATCTTCGAAGATATCTGTATTTCCTTTTAATAACAAGTGCCGTAATTTATCATCTGAATATTTATCTGACATGCCCACTAGCCGAAACCTTTGAGAAAAGTTCCTGCGGGCGCTCATGGACATACATGCACCAACTGACAAATTATATTTCTACAGCAAGAACAGCAATTATTTCTCAAATACAGAGTCTTGATTCTAGCACTTTAAAAGGATCATCTTAACTGTTCCCGCACTGTATATATTCCGCTGCCTGTTATGGTTAAGAACACACTTTACTGAGTTAAAGGATCATCAAGATTCTCACTCCCATAATACCAGAAACAGGGATTTATTAATTACTCAACACTGGACCTTACTCATAGGATTTATATAACTATGGCAATAAGGCTAAACAATCACCTTTCAGTCAATTCTTTGTCTCCCTACACTATTCAAGAATTCTTTGATTGTGAAATAAATGTATATTTACCTATACCATAACTATCTAAAACTGTAATGACTCGTCGAAGTTCACGTGAAGATTGCTCAACCAACGGTAGTCGGGTTGTCAGTGGCGGGCTATGAATTTTTAACGTGGGTGAACTTGATTTCTTTTATATATTTCATAAAAAAGGAAATGGTTTGAAAGACGTTATAGATCAGAAATTAGGAGATTACCTTTGTCAGTTTCTTTCTGATTATCCATGAGCTAATTGAGTCTACCTCTCTTTATTCGTCGTCACTTCCACTTCCATCTGAAAGTAAAAAGCGGTCGCTATCGCTTTTTTACCAAGTTTGACTATAACTGGCACAATGATGGGCTATATTGTGGGCAAGTTGCCACATTTTTTATTCTTCCGGCACAAGATTCTGCCACGCTTCAGGCGTTACTAGCTGTATGGAATTCTCTAGCAAAGCCTTGGCGTCTGGTAATTTGACAGTTGGGTTGTGGCGTGCAATATAACCCTTCACTTGAGCCCAGATGAGCTCTATTGGGTTCAGTTCACAATAGTAGGGCGGTAAACGCAGCACAGTGACACCACCCAAACGACGCGCCATCTCATCAATCACGTAACTAATGCTCGCAGGTTTGTGATGTTTAATTGTGTCATACACGTCCGCTTTCGCACATGAATAGTCAAACGTAATGCCCTTTTTGCACAAACATTGCTACATCTCACTTTTTCGAGTCCCCATATTTGGTACACGTTCGGCTCGACGATGGCAGGAAGCACTATCCATGACAATCAGTTGGGTTTAACTCGCTGAAGCGACCTTGAAAGTAGCTCTCGAAGCAGATGGCATTCATTTAATGATGGTAATCACCTCATCTCAACGATAGTCAAGTCGGATCCTTCTAAAAAGCCACTATCGCTGCCAATATGTGCAACGATCAATCTTTGACCTTTGGGCACGCACACTTGTTAACAAACCTTTAATTTTTTTCTATATCTGAGCAGCCGCGCAGGCAGAAGTCTAAATGCCGGAACACCGCATTCGAGCAGATCGCTGTATGGAAGCTTACTCCATAAAACACGTCAAAAAATGCATAAACCGTTTTACTCAAGATTATTATAACTAATGAATGAGATATTGTGAGTATAATAAAAAAATTAAAATTGTAATAAAGAAATGAATCAAAACGGTAGGACCATATGTTCCCATTTATTATTAACATACTTGAATTCTAATTTTCTAATATCTCAAGATGATTGTGGGACATATTGTTACCTGAATAAAATATGTATTATTTAGAATGTGTAGTTCGGAGACTCAGAGTTTAGAATACCAACCTGTTCTAGTCTGACGCCTCTCGACAGCCATTCCGTCGCCTGGCGGCGGTCATGCTCTGATCACGCGTGTGAGTCATTACAGGTTTAGATAGTTATAGTATACCACTTTGTAGTTGCATGTGTTGGTTCACTAAGTAAACAAGGGTAGGAAAAGAGTGATGAACTAAAGAAGGGCGTATAATTTTAGATAATCAACTTTATTGTATTTTATTGTATTTGATTTGTTTTTATCAGGAACATATTTCAAATATTTTGCTCCATCAATCTGCCAACGATAAAACATGTATGTGTGGTTTAAGCAGATACATGAAATTTAACGGTCAAACGAACTTACCTGAAGTTCGATCGTAATTATATCGATCGTCCATTCCGAAGATGTATTTAACTAAGGTAATACGCTCATGCGTACTGCGCGCCACACATTTTTAAGATGAATAGTAGCGCGAGCGCGGATATGTTCTTCCCGCTCGCCGCCGTCCGCTGTAACTGCCTCCCCGTTTCATTCCTTCAAAGATTGTTTTTCAATGCATATGAGCAGGGTGAAAAGCCACTGCATTTCAGGGAGGGGGGGTTTCTACATCTTCGGAATGGACGATCGATATAATTACGATCGAACTTCAGGTAAGTTCGTTTGATCGTTAAATTATATCTCACGTCCATTCCGAAGATGTATTTTACTAAGGTAGATGTTCAAAGATACAAACCACAAACATATGCATTGATGTTTTATATACGAAATAAGTTGAACAAAACTGCTATCATAGCAAAAGTAAAATAAGGTGAAAATATTCTAATTTATACTCGTTGAGAGTATCGTGTTTGCAAAGTCATCATCCGCTTGTAGTGGTCGGTCGTAGAACCTTGCAAAGGTTGCCGTCTTCTGAGACCAGCCTGCAGTTTTACAAATAGTGTCTACCGACAGCCCTGCCCTACGGACTGCTGACGTTGCTGCGTGCCTAGTTGAATGAGGTTTAATTACAGTCGTATTTACTCCCGATGACATAAGTGTCTGTTTTACCCAACGGGCAAGGGTTTGCTTTGTTGCTTTTTTATGGGGTTTTACATAAGTTAAAAATAAGAAATCTTCATTATTTCGGATTTCTTTCGTTGACTCTAAGTACTGCAGCACTGTTGAGGCTGGGCATATGTTGGGATTTGGTGTGAAGAACGGGAGACTCAGAAAAGGCTGATCATTGAGGCTAAGTGACGTCTTTACTGGGTCCGTAATCATTATTTGTAATCTGGTTTCGTCTCTGTGAATGTTTGATACCCGGATTAAAGAGATCGTTTGAAGGCGGCCACCTGTTACCAGTGAAAGTAGGGTCACCAGTTTGTGGGTGAGGCTTTTAAGTTGGTTGTTAGGGAGATTTCCTAATGCTGTAAGAACTGGTTGAGGAGCCCACGTGAACCTATACCTGGGGTTCATTGGTCGTCTTCTGGCTACCCCTTTCATGAACCGTTTTATCAGGGGGTGTGAACCTAGGCTATCGGAGGATATAAGGGAGATCGCAGATCTGTGGCTGTTTAAACTTCCATAATTTAGTTCAGTTGTATTGATAATGTTCTGAAGGAATTCTATTACCTGCAGGACGTTTGCCTGAAATACTGGTATCTGCTTCTCTTCACAGTACTTATACCATAGACGGTAAGTACACGCATACTGGCTGATCGTAGCTGTCGATATTGAATCGATTATGGTCTCTAACGCCTCATCCTAATGTTAATCTGTTGGCCAGAGGGTGGGTTGAACTGAAAGGAGAAGTCAGAAGATTATCGTCAGGTCCAAAAGTAACAGATCTTCCAACTTGTAGTTTCTCTACAAGCGGATACCATGCCTGGGCACGCCAGTCTGGTACTACTACAATTCCCTCTGCTTTATCCTGGATAATTTTTTGTAACACCTTCAATATTAAGCAAAATGGGGGGAATGCATAAAAATAAATATCGGTCCAGCTAATAGTAAATGCATCAACTGCGACCGAATCCGGATCTTTCCTCCATGATACATATCGTCGACATTTGTGATTTATTTTTGAGGCAAAAAGGTCAACGTCAGGAGATCCGAATTCGTGTTTTAAAACATCAAATGCTGAATCTGCCAGAGACCATTCTGTTTCGGTTGAGACTACTCTGGACTCCCTGTCTGCGTCCAGATTGTCCTTTGTGTTGACGTATGAAGCGAATACCCAAATATTTCTGGCTTGACACCATTCCCAGATGTCTCGCGTTCTGTTGTTGAGCTTGGTAGATTGTATACTGCCCAAACGGTTGATGC